AACAAGATCCAAGCTGGCGATAGACGTTTCACTTGTCACAATTTCGTTTCCAAAAGCAAACCGTAAGACTTCACTTACCTCTATCCCTTTCTCACCCCTATCCCAGAACCAAAAAGTCATTCTTCCCCACTAGTATCAAGAGAAAGCGATGAAATCAATGCAATAATAAAGTTGTCCTTATACTTTCAATTTTGGTTCACAAAATAAATGACTACGGAACCCTCGCGCCCTTGTATTTAAGCGCCGCCTTTCCTACCCTTCCCCTTTCCCATACATGACTTAAACAATATGCAGAAAGATGAGCAGGCCTTCCATACAGTGCCTCCAAAGTAAAATATCCTCTAGCAGCAGACCTAAAATCCCAACGCAACCCTACAGCGTGTCAACCACATTTCATGGTCGGGAGTAGAAGCAGGCATTCATGATGTCACTTCCTTTCAATGTCTATAATGCTAATAGCCTTCTATGTAGGCAGAGGTTGCCCGACATCATACAATGAAGTTGACGAGAGAACTGCGAATGGTTGTCGTATTTATTGAGTTCAAAGCACAGAAAAAGGAGGCCGAAAACGCAAAAGGAGACAGAAAGGGAATGCAGACGTAAAGAGTGCGACAGCGACGACAAATTTACAAGAGGCAAAGGGAGACCAGTAGGAGGCAGATAAATGCAACTGAGAGGGAAGGAAGATCCACCGAAGGATCAAAAGAGACCTTTGCGTTTCTTCTCGGTCTTACTGCGCTCCTTAATGACCTCTGAAAGGACGCGTTCGCCGAGACCGCCCCCGGCGGTGCTGTGGGCCAAATCAGCGCCTATGTCCCACTCACGCCAAGCTTCCTCCCAGCGCGCCTTCTGCTCCTCGAAGGCACGGCGCTCCACCTCGTGCGCCGCCTCTTCCTGCCTCAGCTGCTCTCGCATTTGCTCTGCTCGACGCACCAGGTCCGCCTCGAACTCCTTCTGCTTCTGACTCTTCTCTGCCACCTTCACAAAAAGGAGGCCAAATCAATTTGCCTTTATAGTAAAGACCTCATCGGCAATGTTAGACCACCTCTCATCAACCAGTCCTTAATACACACAGTCGTTTATGATAGGCGTCATTTCCTTTGACTCCATAGATGCAAAGCAAAGTCAATGAATTGAAAGATAAACATGAATCT